GAAAAGGGCTTTAGAGGCCTTGGTGCTCACCTGCAGAGCCTTTGCCCAGCTCTGTACCTGGGGACCACCTATCCTCTGCATGTCACCGTTCCTCAGCTGCATGACGAAGGAGATAGATTACTGGCCATTCCAGATTCTGCCTGAGCTGCGACTTCCATCCCTTCTCCCATCCCACCCATTAACAATGACTGCACACCAGCCACATGCCAGGCCTGGCAGGAAGCAACACAGAGCTCACAGCTGGCCCCTCTGGATGAGCTTTCTTATCCCAGTGCTCTGAAGGGACACAACATCACAGCTGCTTCTACTGTTGGATGGAGAAACTGACTTCAGCAGCTTCCCAGAGGGGTTGCAGAGAGGTGCCCGGCCAGCAAACCCTGAGTTTGCCCCTCTTTTAGCTTGACTGGGGCACCTCTCTGGAGCCTTCCAGCATTCCGCTTGCTGTTCCCTGCACACCTGCCCCCAACAACACACACCACTGGACTCCTGTGTTCCAGTCTGGATTCACCTCTTTGCCCAGAGACAACCCTGAATGTTCGTGAACACCCAGCAGAGGAGACCTCATTGCAAGGACCCAGGGAAGTCCCACGCTTTAGGAAGCCCATTTCAGTTGCCAGAGGCTCTGGGGCTCTGGGCCCACTTAAAACTACAAAAGGAAAAATTGCACCTTGTTCTTGTCACATAAACAACCATTTTACATGGCTGAAACCAGGGACTGCACACTGGGTTATTCATTAATAAGGTTCCAGGGCTTCGAACAATAGAAGCTTTTATTACCCAGCAAATAGCCCTTTCCACTTGACTAGATCACACCACTTAGCAGTAAAGGACAGCCCCCTCCCCTGAGGTTGCCAAAGCCTCTGTCTGGCAGCACTGGGGAACTAGGGACGTAGCAGAGGCCAGCTTTTAATTGACTGTCTCCTCGCAAATGATTATTGCTTTATATGAGATCTTTAACTGGTAGAAATTTTTATTTGCAGTTCACAGAGAAGAAAAGTGGAGAAAGAGCTAACCTTTCTGAACTCTATTGTGTTATTTTCACACAAGGCACTTTTCACATGAGATCCCCAGCAACTAGACCAATACCTGGCACAGATAGGTGCTCAATCGATCATTTTGGGTGAATGTAGTTAGGATGATGTTACCCTTGTCACCTCACACAGAGAGAGAATGAACTTAAAGGGGTCAAATCCCTCCTTTAACACTACAGAGTCAAAGGAGGCTGAGGCAGGAGGATGGCAAGTTTGAGGCCAGACTGGGGAACTTAGTGAGACTCTGTCCCAAACTAAAATTTGGAAAAGGTCTGGGGGTGTAGCTTGGTGGTACAGTGCCCCTGGGTTCAACCCCCAGCCCTGCAAAACAAACAAAAAGATTATGGAGCCAGCGTGTGGGTTACCTACTTCTTTGTAACACACGGACTCAAATTTAATGATAGGAAATAGCAACGATTTGCTTTGCTCAGGAACCTGCAGTCTGGGCAGGTCTTGGTGGAGATAGCACCACGTGGTATCAGCTGGAATGGACTACTGCAGAAGGTGCATTCTGGCTGCTGATGAGTGGGCACAGGTCGTTGGATGGGAGTGTGACCATGCTTCTGTGGATGTCGGCTCCCTCCACCTGAGCTGCTTGGGCCTCCTCACAGGATGGCAGCTGGGCCTGAGAGCAAGCAGTCCAGAGAAACAGGTGGAAACTGAGTCTCTTTTGTGATCTAGCTTTGGCAGCACTGCAGGTCTGCTTCCATCATGGTCAGGAGTGCCCTCCAGATTCAAGGACAGGGAAACCCAGGCCCCTTCTCTTAATGGGAGGAAGGCAAACTTGTATTATATGGAGGCTGTGTGGTTGGGAGCACCTGTGTGGCTCTTTGGACGCTGCTGTCGCCATGGCTAGCGAGTGGAGGGAATGAGCTTGGAATCCATTCTGTCTGACTCCTGACCCCTGTGGTAAATCCACCAGCCCCACCTCTGGTGGCAGGGCCAGGTGTGGCCTGAGCCTGCATTCAACCAGGCCACGGCACAACTCAAGATTGGAATCTGATGGTCCTGATCAAGTCTGATCAGAACAATCCGCAGTCAGTGTGGGGAATGTCCGCTGGAATCAAAAAGGAAAATCCCTCTGGCCCAGCGATGCCGTTGCAAGCTGACACTGCAGCATCCCAGCAGGTGTGCACAGAGGAGCCGCACCCATGTTCTACCAGGACGTTCGTTCTCTGATGGCCCAAGGCTGAACTTAGAGTGCTGGCACCTGCCGTGCCCTGGACCAGGCAACCGTGAGAGGAAGCCCGTCTTGTCGGGGTGCACAGTCATGCTAAACATACAAAATGGCAAAAAAATGGAGGGAGGAAGGGGACACACAGGGCTTGAAGGGTTTGGGGGATGATGGGATGTTCACTGTCTTGGCGGTGGTGATGGTTTCATGGGTGTGGACATGTGTCACTCAGACTGTATGCTTTAAACACACGGTCCTTGTTTGTTAATAAAGCTAATTTTTAAAAAAGGCACAAATGAGACCAGGCGCCACTGTGTCTCTGGAAGGGTACATGGGAGGCGAGGTGCAAGTGGGGCAGAAGCAAGTGGCCCAGGGGGAGGGGCTTCCTTTCACGAAGTCCCTCCTGTGGTCCTGACTGCCTGGGGTGTGCGTCCTGCAGATTAAATGGATAAGTGACACACGGATATGTGCATACCTAGGGGAGCCGTGTTCCAGCAGGTTGAATTGTGGCCTCTCCCTATGAAAACATGTTTCCCTTATCTGGAAACGGGGTCTTTGCAGAGGTAACTGAGGTGAGGATCCCTTGGTATCAGGGTGGACCCTAAACCCAAAGTGTCAGACAGAAAAAGAGAAGACACAGGGAGGAGGCGTGGGAGAGGAGGCGGAGCTGAGGGAGGCATGCATGAGCCTCGGGTGTCAACCACACCAGACGCTGGGGACAAAGAACAGATTGTCGCCAGGCACAGTGGCACAAGCCGGAAATCCCAGTGGCTTGGGAGGCTGAGACAGGAGGATCGCAAGTTCAAAACCAGCCTCAGCAAAAGTGAGGTACTTAGCAATTCAGTGAGACCCTGTGTCTAAATAAAATACAAAATAGGGCTGGGGATGGGGCTCAGTGGTCGAGTGCCCCTGAGTTCAATCCCAAGTACCAAAAAAAAAAAAAAAACAACAGGTTGTCCCTTAGAACGTCCACAAGGAGCCACCCTGCAGGTGCTGGACCTCAGACTCTGGCCCGGAGCTGCAGAGTGAACCAAACTGCTGTGGCTCTGCTGCAGTGGCTACAGGAGGTTTCACGGCCGTGACGTGGGGCTCATGCTTTCCCGGCTGTTCCTGGTACCGAGCTCCCTGAAAGTCTTTTCCTGACCTGCTCTGGACCTTCCCAGCTCTCTTCACCTCACCTTAAGCTCAGATCCCAGGTGTCTGTGAGTTGGGCCAGCCCAGTTCAGCAGCTGCAGCCCAGAGGCCACATTCTCTCCAAAGCACCCCCTGGCCTTCTTGCCTTCACGGTGTCCCCACCAGCCCTAGAGGCATTTTTGGTGGCAAACTCTTACGTGACCATAGTCCACAGGGCTGTGAGAGCCTAGTGGAACTTTTGGGTCCCTATGCCAATTTCTGTAGCCCTAGCTCCTGGTAGAAACTGGCACATAACAGGCACTCAATAAGTACTTCTTAGCTTGGCTTGGTGGCACATGCCTGTAATCCTAGCAGCTTGGGAGGCTGCAGCAGGAGGATTGCAAGTTCAAATTTAGCCTCAGCAACTTAGCAGACCCTGTCTCAAAATAAAAAATAAAAAGTGCTGGGGATGTGGCTCAGTGTTTGAGGGCTCTGGGTTCCATTCCTTGTACAAAAAAAAAAAAAAAAAAAAAAAAAAAAAGTGCTTCTTGAATTAAATGGACTTCCCTGGGCAGATAGGACTCCCTGTAGTGACCTTGGTACCAGGGGCTCAGCAGAATGCCCCAGAGCTCCAGAGGGTGGGACAAACATGCTTCCCTCTGTATCTCTCATTGTGCAGGGGATGGAGGTGGTGACTGCCCCGTCTCAGGAGGTGTGCCACCAAGGCTGGGACTTTCCTTTCACAGCCTATCAAAGGGGGCAATACCTGAGAGGGTAAGGGCCTGGCTGCCACAGCTCTGTGGTTTGTGCAGGGCGTGGATGACACTCTGGGAGATGGGCCTCATGGAGGGGCCCCTGCTGGCAGCGACAGGGCTGCCTCGTGTCAGGGCAGGCGGTGTGAAGCAGGCCCAGCCACTTCTGGTGCCAAGAGCCACCCGCCCCTCACAGCTCATTCCCAAAGCAGCGCCTCCTCTCCAGGCTCTGCCACCAGGGTTTAGCGGAAAAGATTGGGGCACCTATCACAGTACTGCCTGCAGGGTGGCCCTCTGGGTGAACTGCATCCCCTGCTCCATCTCTCATGTCACCCCTGCAGAACCTCCACAGGAACAGGCTGTGGAGGGAGGAGCAGCCCTGGCATGAATCTGAGGCTCCGAAGGCCCTGGCATTTGAGGCCCCTCGTGGGTGGTCCCCAGGGGCTGCACACTGTCAGCCCTTCCTGGACATTGATAGGAGACAGATGGTGTCAGAAGACACCCAGGAACCTGCCTCTCCCCAGGGTCCTGCTGAGGGAAACTCAGAGCTGGGGGCGGTTGGGGGCGGCTCCTCCCCTCAGAGGCAGGGCCCAGGCCCTGGAGCCCTGTGAGCCCCATTCTGATGGGGAGACCAAGGCAGGCTGGCAGCCCCGGAGGCAGGGATACAACAGCCCAAGTGCCTGGACCCTGGGGCAAGTTCTTGGGGTGTAGAGATCTTGGATGCCTGATCCCAGACAGTCCCATGGCCTCCTGGGCTCCCAGCCCCCCTGGGCCCCTATCACACACTCAACCCGCATTCCACGCAGCTGTAGCTTTAAGCCTCCTGCTGGGGCTGTCCCCTGCAAACTGCTTGTTCCACATTCTCGGGGTGGTGGGGCGGGTGGGGTGCTGGCACGCCCTCTGGGAGGGAGGCTATAAGGCACGGGCAGATGGGGCCCAGAGGGGAACTGGGGCCCTGCCTCCCGCTGTCCGCATGGCCCTGCTGCTCTTGGGGCTCCTGGTCCTCCTGGGCCTCTGGGGGCTGCTCCGTGCCTCTGCCCGCAGCCCCTCCCCAGCCCTGCGATGGCCCCCCGGGCCTCGCCCGCTGCCGCTCCTGGGGAACCTGCACTTGCTGAGTGTTTCGCAACAGGACCGGTCACTGATGGAGGTAGGCCTGGGTAGCCCCGCTCGACTCCCTCAGCCAGATGGTGGCCGTGTTCCAGGCCTGTCCCTGAGGAAGCCAAACCCAGTTTACACCATCCATTCAGCATGGTGCTGGGCCCACTGGGATGCAAGAGGAGTGCCCCTACCCTGATCTTGGGAAGAGAGAGCCACCCACCCCACAGGGAAGCTGCCCAGGGTTAGCGGGCAGGGAGAGCTCCTGCAGGAGGCAGCCTCTGGGAAGCACTTTCAGGAAGGTCAAGGTTGGTGCGGGTGGGATGCCCACTAGGTGTGGCTCCTCCTTGAAGAGCTAGTGATGGAAGTTTCTCGGCCAAGTTGAAGGCTGGCTTTCCTGCCGTGCAGCTGTGGGCAGGCTGACTCAGGGAGACACAGAGCCCGGATCTGCCCTGTGAGGGCTGACCAGCCCTGTCCCCTGCATGGGCTGGCACCCTGTCCCCACAACCCCAAAGCAGCCCCTTCCATTTAGTCCCCAAAGCCCTCACCAGAGACCAGCCCCCATCCCCTGCCCCATTGCAGTTCCTAAGAGTTCTCCCTACAAGGGGCTCCTGTCTCCAGAGTCCCCCAGATGGCCTCTCCAGGACTGCAGATGGGCAGGCAGCAGAGGGCTGCAGCCCTGGGCTGAACTGGCCCTGTCACACCTTCCCTAGGGCAGGACACCTGGGCCCCACCTGGCCCTGGGCACCAGGCTCAGGGGCTCAGGCCCTAGATTGGTGCTGGGCAGGACAGCAGGCCCAGCTCCGTCCTCAGACATGAGTAGCCAAAGGCAGCTCACCTCCTGCTCCTGAACCTCAGTGTCCTGTGATTAAAATGGGGAGATGACGCCTTCCTGGGCAGAGATGCCATTAGGACAGAGGGAGGAGCGTGATGGGAAAGGCTGCGGGCAGCCCAGATGTGGACTGTTCTCTGTCCTTGTTCAGCCAGTGAAGGTCAGAGTCAGAACTGACCAGCCATGGCCTGGGTGCTGCTTCTGTCCCTCCTTTGGTGCAGGTTGGGGGGTGCCGCTGACCAAGCTAAAGTCCAAGGAGGGCCACAGCACGGAGGGACTGTCCAGCCTGCTGCCTGTGCAGCCCCAGGCCACCTGCAGCCTGGTCGTGGGTCTTGAGGGCCCCTGGGATTCCTGCTGAAAAGAAAACCCGTGAAAGTCATTCCCAGCACCAAAAGGCAGCACCCCAGTAGACTGGGAATGGTTCTATGGGTCCCCCAAAATGGCCCTGCATGCCCCCTACGCCCTGCAGAGTCTCCCCCAGTTCCTCCACCCAGCCGTGCTCTGCCCAAGTGGACCCCAGAGGGCCTGGTGGGTAGGGGCTGCCCACCTGACCCCTGCTGCCCCCACCAGCTCTCCAAGCGCTATGGGCCAATGTTCACCGTCCACCTGGGCTGCCAGAAGACTGTGGTGCTGTCCGGCTATGAGGCTGTGAGGGAGGCCCTGGTGGGCACTGGGCAGGAGCTGGCGGATCGGCCCCCCATCCCCATCTTTCAGCTCATCCAGCAAGGCGGGGGTAGGTGTGTGGTTCTCTGCAGTAGAAGGTGGGGACTGACCTCCGGGCTGGTGCTGGGCCAGGGGAACAGGAGCCCTTAGGGTCTTCCCATCACAAGCCAAGAAGGGGCCTGCTAACCCTGGCCAACCCCCAGAGAACAGGAGGGTGGAACCGAGACCCCTCCACCAGGCCCTGCTGACCCAGGTGGCCCCACCTGCTCCTGCCTGCCATGCAGGGCAGGGTGACGGCCACACAGCATCTCCGTGTCCGCCCACAGGCATCTTCTTCTCCTCTGGGGCGCGCTGGAGGGCTGCCCGCCAATTCACAGTGCGTGTGCTGCATAGCCTGGGCGTGGGGCAGGCGCCCATGGCCGACAAGGTGCTGCAGGAGCTGGCGTGTCTCATGGGACAGCTGGATAGCTATGGAGGTGAGCAGGGGCTGGGACACCTCTCCCTGGGGTCCCCTGCCTGCCTGAGGCCCGTCTCCCCTGCAGGCCGGCCTTTCCCTCTGGACCTGCTGGGCTGGGCTCCCTCCAACATCACCTTCGCACTCCTCTTCGGCCAGCGGTTTGACTACCAGGACACCATGTTTGTGTCCCTGCTGGGTCTCATTGATGAGGTCATGGTTCTCCTGGGGTCACCCAGCCTACAGGTGAGAGGTCGCTGCCTCATGGGAGCTGAGCCCTTAGAGGTAGGGTAGACCCTGGGGAGAGTAGGACTGGGGGTGTCCAGCATCATCCTTCACCCCAACCGTCAGCAAAAGGAGCCTGGACTTGGGTCGAGAGCTTGAGTCTGTACCCCCTTGGTGACCCCCTGGCTGCACGACCGCAGACCAGCCTCTGTGCTCCGTGGGAAATAGTAGGTCTGGAGCAGGGGATCCTCATTTTCTCCCAGTGCCCCATCAGTCACAGTCACACCTGCTCCAAGGTGAGGAGTGGGGCCAGACACTCCTTCCCCAGGTGGGTAGGACCCAGAGACATGGGTCCCAGCCCAGGTCCTTCACCACATTACAGAAACCACAAAATCCGTTCTCTGACATCATGGGGGTACGTGTCATTTCTTTTCCAAAGTCTAGAGATTCCACATGTCCGTCTTTGGCGTCTCTAACTGTGAGTTAGCTGAAGCCTAGACACCAGGTGTGCTGCTTGTGGGATTGACAGCAGGACTTGGCAGCAGGTGTGCTTTGTCACTCTGCTGTCCCTGGCATGAGGTCCCAGGAGGTGAGGTGGGACAGCACAGCAGTGCCCGGGGCTGGTCCTCAAACTTTGCAGCCTGTGACCCACTGTAGTCAGAGTGAGGCTGTCCTGCTCTTAGGGGCACCAGGCCAACCCGCCCAACTCCAGAGCCCTCCCCTGGAGTCCCTCCCAATGGGGCTCTGTGGGGCAGTCCCATGGCCCTTCCTACCCGTGCCTGATTCTCACCTTGGAGCGCCTTGAGGAGTTTCTGCCCACGATTGCTGGTGTCCTGGGAAAGCAAGTGTCTGAGGGTAAGCTGGACAGCAGCTGGCATCCACCTGCTGGTGGGGGACACCCTGGCTCCTCAGATTCCACCTCTGTGCAACTCCCAGAGTGGGTGATAATCTGCAGCAGCAAATGCCCCCTCTTCCTTCCTCCTCACTTTAGCAGGTGGAAGGGGGCATGGTCACAGGCAGCCTGTTTGCATAAAGATGCCAGGTGTGTTACTGTCAGATGGCTCCATGCTCGCGACTGAGGTTTCCTGAGTCCCCGGACCCCCAGTAGGGCGGCAGGCCTCCAGCCAGGCGCCCTCTTGTGGCCGTGGGTGGCACATGCCCCAGCACCTTTGAAGCCCTGGATGGGGACACCCTTGCTGCTGGATGGACGGGCTCCCCCTGCGGGGACCAGGTGCCTGGCCCCACCCCACCACCCTGCCCTCTGTCCCAGTTGTTCAACATCTACCCCTGGTTGGGGACCCTGCTCCAGCTGCACCGGCCTGTCCTGCGCAAGATCGAGGAAGTGCGTGTCATCCTGAGGACTCTCCTGCAGGCGCGGGCCTCCCCCACGCCCCAGGGTGGCCCTGCGCAGAGCTACGTGGATGCTCTGATCCAGCAGGGCCAGGTAGGGGAAAACCAGGAGGCCTGTGGGGAGTCCCTGTGGACTCCAGGACTGGGGCTGGGGAGGCGTGAAATGGGGCATTCCTAGTGCCTGGTATGGGGCACTGGAGGTGGTGAGTGGGTGCTCATTTTTCTGTCCTGGGTTGGGGCTGGAGTGGACAGACCTCAAGACCTCAAGCTCTGCCCACCTGCCTCACAGGGGGATGACCAAGAGGGCCTCTTTGCAGAGGACAACGCTGTGGCCTGTGTGCTGGACATGGTCATGGCTGGCACAGAGACCACCTCCGCCACACTGCAGTGGGCCATCCTGCTGATGGCCAAATACCCAGGCGTGCAGGGTGAGGCCTCGCATGTGGCTGGGTACCCCCAGGGCAAGGTGATGGGGTCCTCCTCAGACATGGTACCACTTTCCGGTACAGGCCGTGTGCAGGAGGAGCTGGGCCATGTACTGGGCCCTGGGAGGCTGCCCCGGCCTGAGGACCAGAGGGTACTGCCCTACACCAACGCAGTGCTGCATGAGGTCCAGCGGTACATCACGCTCCTGCCCCACGTGCCCCGCTGCACAGCTGCTGACACTCAGCTGGGTGGCTACCTGCTCCCCAAGGTGGGGGCCCAGCTGGGCCTCATTCTCTCCTTCCCTCTTGCTCAGGGTTGGTCAGGATCGCTGGACTCTGAGATGCCAAGTCTTGGGGCTGGTGCCTGACAGCACAGAGATTTCCCCCATTGGAACAAGGAAGGCGTCACCCCAACCTCACAGCACCTCCTACCTGGGACACCAGAGCCTGGGGATCAGGGTCCTCCTCTGTGTCCCGAGGGTCAGGCTAGGTGGGGTCAGTAGGAGCCTCATCCTCAGGGAAACCTCCTCAGAGGCCCCTCACCCCATTTCTGGGGTCCTCCTCTTGGCCCCCACAGGGCACACCTGTGATTCCCTTGCTGACTTCAGTGCTCCTGGACAAGACACAGTGGGAGACCCCGGACCAGTTCAACCCGGGCCACTTCCTGGATGCGGATGGGCACTTCGTGAAGCGGGCTGCCTTCCTACCCTTCTCTACAGGTACTAGGGCTGGGGCCAGAGGCCCACAGGCGACAAGCCCTTCTGGGATGCCTGGTCTCTGGCCCTTGGGGCATGCTCCCTAGCACCCCCACAGCAACGCCCCCTCTGGGAGCAGGCCTGGCACCCACTTGGTGTCTCCCTTACCCTCACAGGCCGCCGAGTCTGCGTGGGGGAGAGCCTGGCTAGGATGGAGCTCTTCCTGCTGTTCGCTGGCCTCCTCCAGCGCTACCGCCTACTGCCTCCACCTGGCATCAGCCCCACTGCCCTGGACACCACTCCTGCCCCAGCCTTCACCATGCGGCCCCGTGCTCACACCCTGCGGGCAGTGCCCTGGCCCTAGGAGCTTCCACTGGGCAAACTCCCAGGGGCTGCCCCTCCTGGGCCTCTAGTGTGGACGGCAGGGGTGGGGGGCAGCGCTCCTGAGCAGGAACACTGCCAGGCCCCACTCCCTGGTCAGCACCTCTCTGGGCCCCACCTTGACCGCAGCCACCACATGGCTTCCATGCCACAGACCTGCCCACGGTGGGTAGGGCTGTCCTGTCCAGTATGGGCTGGTAACAACCTTATCTAAATACCACGGGGACAGAAGTGCCCCTCCATAGCCAAACACCCTGACCCCGCCCGAGTCTGTGCCTCTGAGGCCCTGGGCTCCCTCCCAGGATTGCACACAAACATGGATTCCCTCCTCCACTCTTGCTTCCAGGGCAGCAGGACACCCCTCCCTGCCTTTCTTCCTCATTCCTTACCTCCCATGTCCTCTGGTGCCTTTTCTGCAGTCACCCTCAGAGTGTCTCTCTGATCTATTCCCTACTATCCAGTTCCCTACCAGGGCCAGTGTCCACCAGGCATGTACAGTTTTGGGGTACAAGGAAATACAGGGTGATGCCTAGGCTCAGGGGTGACGTCTACCCAGAGATTGGTCTTAGTCCAGGAGTCCCATGACCTACCTCATTCTTGGTGCACCTGAGAGCCATGCCCAGAGTCCTCTGAATGTCGCTAGTTGCTGCCTCCAGCCCGCAGCCAGAGCCAAGTGCATACTCCTTAAAGGCCAGCTCACACTTAGCTTGTATGGGCACTGGGGCCAAGGCTTCATGGTCTGTCCCAACACCTGGGGTCCTGAAACAAATTCCTCCCACCCTGTGCCTCAGTTTACTCACTGGTGAAATGGGTCACCACGACTGCAGGACCATTGAGCTTTGAGGGAGGTGCAGGGTGGAGATGCTGAGAGTCCAGGGGCCAACCCCAAACCAAGGTGTCCACAGGGAATGGAGAGGCTGCTGAGGAGGGGAGGCCCCTAACCCCACGAGGGTCACTCTGCTGATCTCCCCCAGGGCTGGGCATAGGCAGCACGTGGAGGAACGGAGGTCCCAGGCAAGCCCTTGAGCACTCCCACAGCCATGCCCTGGACAGGGAGGGGCAGCCCCGAGACGCCTCAGGGGAGGTGGGCCACACAGGGCAGCCACCAAAGTCAGGCTGTGTTGGCAGGTGAGGTTCAAGGCCATTTCAGGAGGCTGCTGACCCTGACCTGCTGTCTGCCAACCTCACGGGATCCTGGTGCAGAAAGGGAGACCCGCACCCTGACATGCCCGAAGCACAAGAAGCTTCCCTTCTCTCATGATGCACCCAGGCCGTGGGGCAGGGCCTCAGGTTGGGTGTTACCACACTGCCCACGGGGCTACCTGTCTCTCAGATCTCCAGGCTACATGGGCTGGGCTGGAAGCTCCGGTGCTTCTGCCTGATTCTCAGCTCATTTGTGGGATCCTTGGGGGAGCCTCCCTTCACCATTGAAGCAGCCGGCTCTGGGGTGCACACCTGGGGTGCAGGAAAGCCGAGATTGCCCCCCACCTGGCCTTGATGGCTCCCAGGCCTTCCAGAGGTGGGGCTTCTCCACAGAGACCACTATGGACATTCGCATGTGGTGCACCGTCCTGGGGTCCAGCCTTAGCTGGGGTCCTGCTTTGTACCTGGCAAGCCTTCTTCAAACCCGCCTCGGTTCAGGCCATTGTCCTGGGAGCCTGGTGGGCTGCAGGTGGGGACACTCAAGGCTCGCTGTGACAAGGGGAAGGGGGTTGGTCCTCCTGTCAGCATGGTGGCTCCAGAGTCAGAGGGCTAGCAAGGGAAGGGGGGCAGCTTCCAAGCTAATTGTTACCTCCAGGAACCTTTCTTAGGGTCCTTCTGATCCCCACTCATCTGCCAAATCTCTGCCCTACGCCTTGACCATGACCTTGGTAGAGAACACAGGAACCAGCTGCTGAGTGGGTGGAGGCCCAGTTGGGGATATGGATGACACACAAATAGCAAAGGGGTACCTTCTGAGCAAGGGAGGCACCCAGCCACAAGGATTGGGGGGGCACTGCTTACTCAGGGTTGTGACAGTGCGGGCCAGTCAGTTGAGTGGGATAGGGTCCCTGGTCCAGGGACTTCACATGCACAAAAGGTGGCCCCTCCTGGAGAAAGAAAAGGAACTGTAGCTTTCCTGCCGTGGAGCAGCATGACACATCTCCAGTCCCCAGAGCGGGCGCAGCAAGCTCCCAATAACTGTGGGAAGGTCACTGCAACAGAGGCTTGCAGGGACAAGGTGCTGACACTGTGGTCACGTGAAGGAGTGGGTCAAGGAGGCGAGGGGAGCTTGGCTGCATCCAGTCACGTGTTTCTGGGGAAGAGCTAGGCGACAGGCATATAAGTATCTGCTCCTCTATTCTCACGTTTGGAACCTGTCATTTAAAGGTTGAGGGCAGAAAGAACGGCCATCGGGGTGGGCACCCCACCTGTCCCAGCACCAAGGGGGAGCTTTTCCAACAGAACAAACTAATCTCACCTGGCCTCAACTTCAGCTGGCCCAAGGACTATCTGGGGAAATGCTGGTCCCTTCTTCCCAGCATTGGGGAGACTCAGCCGACACTCAAGACACAGGTGATGGGGTCGTGAGATCATCACCCAGAGTCCGGGGGCCACTTGCAGCCTGGAGAAGCCCATCTCCAGCGTGAGGCAAAACTCCAGCATGTGCTGGATTCTGGGTGGGAGGACTGTCCACTATTGCCCATTGCTGCACCCTGGGGTGATGCTGCTCACACCTGCCCCAGGAGGCCGGGAACTGGACAAGTGGGCTTGGAAGCAGGTGGGTGAATCCCTGCTCTGCTGGGCAAGATGCCATGTGGGTGCATCCAGAGGATTCTAACCTTAATTACTACTCAGCTTGAAGGTTCTTTACTTTATCATCTGTGACCCACCCCCCCGCCACGAAAATGAGGAGGGTATGAGATGTTGAGGTCCCTGAGGACAGATACGGAAACTGAGGTTGGGGTGTAACTTGCGCTCAGCTGGGAGGCAGGGGATGGTGACCAGGCACAGTGCCTGTGCCCAGGAGCTGCCAGAAAGCTTGTGCCACCAGGAGGAGGGTGTGGGAGCCAGCACCAGCGAAGAGCAGGAGGACAGCAGAAGCCCAGCCTGCCACATCAGAGAAGTCAGAGGGACAATCAGGAAAAGAGAAAGACACAGCAGGCAACTGCTCCAGGAAGAGCGCAAGACAGACCCAACACTGCCTCCGTTCTGAGATCTCAGAACCGTGCCTAAACACACATCCTTCAAGACACAGCGGACAGAAGCTACCTCCTCAGGGGCTGGTCTCCAGGTGCCCAGTGGATCTGTGAGGGTCCCACCACCCCAGTCAGCGCCTGCCCCTCACCCAGAGTTCCTGTGCCAGTCCACCTGCGCGCCATGGCTCCCAACACCATTCTGACTTTTGAACAGTGGTTTCTGGTTGGTCAAGCCGTGCACACACCTGCTGATAAAGAGGAACCTTAGGAGGAAACAAACACTGTCACCTCATGTTGCCAGCAGGCTTTGTCCTGCAGATGTCTTTGTGACCTTTCTCCTGAAGATGTGTCTGTCCTAGAGGTGTCCTGGGGAACACTAGTTTATTAAAATCAACTTTAGTGAGGAATTATGCATGTAAGGCGTAAGGTCTGCCCACAGGCATGTGAGGCCATCTCCGTCAGGACACAGTGCTCCACCTGGAGCCCCCTCGGCCCTCTGGGTCAGCTCCATCAGTACATTTTGCTGTCTGTTAGTGAGCAGCTCCTGGGACCTCATGAGTGGACTCTGGTGGCACTTCCTTGTTTGTGTCCACAGTTCTTCCTTTTTGATGTTAAGTGTCACTTTGTCCAGTTCCTGTGCAATGGACACTGGGAATACTTCCAGTTTGCAGGGGCAGAGGGGGAGATAGCCATCACTTGAGGTTTCCAGATGCAACTTATCCCCTGTGAGCTGTGGGCAAGGCAAGGACTCGCAGCCCAATCTTTTTTTTTTTAATTAAAAAAATATTTTTATGTGGTGCTGAGGATTGAACCCAGTGCCTCACATGTGCTCTAACACTGAGCTACAGCCCCAGCCCATCGCAGCTCAATCTTTGACATTCTGGTCCCCCCTGGGGTCTCATCAGAGAGTGCCACCTCTGAGTGGCATCAGAGGACCCCCCCAAGGAGCTGCTTGGTCCCAGGTGATCTCTTGATCATCTCCCTCTGCACATTCTGCCAGAGATGCTGTGGAGATTGGCACTCTGTGACCACAGGCTTAGAAAGAAAAGATCCCTTCTCCAGCAGGTGACAGGGGAATGCTGGTGTTGAAGTCAAGTGGGCCAAGGTCTCCAACACCGGTTTCCACAGACAGTGAGGTCTTCTTCACATTTCCTTTCTAACTTGGCTGCCAGAAAATCAGGAGCTGTTCTTGATCTATCAACCCTGATTTTTAAAATCACCTGTCCCTTCTTTGTACCTTGTGGGTCTTTATCGCTGCCTACCTACTTCTTGGTGTACTAACCTAAGACGCCTCAAAGTTCGGCAACAGTGGAGCTGCACCCAACGGCGCACATGTCGTTACCCTGGGCTGCAGGCAGCTGCTCTGCAGGGCTGAGGTGCCAGGGTGCGGATTATAGATCCATGGGGGGGTGGGGTGGGGAGGGCGGTCTGTTTGTGACCCTATCCAATGGCATAAGGCCCAGGACTCCTCACATGCTGTTCCCAAGGGCCACCGTGGGTTAGTGGCTACCACATGGGTCAGGATATGTGGGCATGTTGTGTGATGAGCATCTCCACTGCAGAGGAACAGAGCCAGGGCCACACACTGCCTGGGGGGCAGCAAGGAGCCCCAGACTGCAAGCAGGCGAGACCTCGGTGGTGAGACCCTTGGGTCTCTTCTAATCCAAGAGTCTAGGGGATCTGTGGTGACAGGTGACAAGGGGTCTGCATGCCAGGCTCGCCCAGGCTATGACTGGCCTTGGGAGAAAGGGATGTGCTTCTGCGGGGGCTGCACCCAGCAAGGCCACCGCCATCCCGCTGCCCACAGGTGTGCACGCACATGGTGCTTCGCTCCTGACCCAAGCGCTGGTGACCAGAATCAGTCACCAGGCCTGGGGAACAACTCACTTTTGTCCACTAGTGTAGCTGGAGTGGCTTGATGGGTGAGTTTGGAGCACCCACAGGTAGCTTGCCCCCTGTGGCTGGGTACATGTCCGAAGAGGACCAGGTGGGGCTGCGTCCTCTGTCTGCCTCAGGAGTCCTGCAGTGGCTGGCTCCAGGGGGATACTGATCATTCAGAGGGGGGCCTGCACTCCACTTTTATTAAAGGCCATGTGCAAGGGCCATAGGTGTGTTTAAGGATACCCTCTTGGGTGGCAGTTGAGGCCTGAGCATCTTGCTTTGTAAAGGTGACCAGGCAAGGGCTGGTGCCACTCTCACTGGCTGAGGAGGCTGGGAACCACTGGGGCCACTCTTGGGCCCTGAGGTCTTCTGCAGGTAGCCTGGATTCAGCCTCAGCCCTTCTTACCCTGGCGGCTCCCCTCCCCAACGGCAGCTTCTCCCTGGCTGCCCGGCTCCTGCACATCCCATGTGACTGGACAGTCAGGGGTGGGAACCCCTGTTCTGCTGTGCAGGGGTATGTCCTGGCCAGGACGGTCACTACGATACCTGGAAAAGGCAACCTGAGAGCATGGCTGCTAGAAATGTCAGTAGAGAGCAGGGATGCTGTCCTGGGAGGCTCCTGCTGAAGACGGGAGTGGCGGCTGAAGCATGCCTACCCGGACAGCCCTCCACAACCTCCGCCAGAGTGAGGACAGGCTGATTTTTATTGAAAATGGGGCAGCACAGGCACAGGCTCTGGACTGCTGCCCCCAAGGGTTTCCCTGAAGCCAGACTGGAGGCCACACAAGGAGGCGAGGCCCACGCTGGAAGGGCTGTCAGATGAAAGGTGCAGGGACCGACTTGGGGACCCACACCCCAAACACTGAGGAAGCACAGCTGGCGGGGAGGGCCAGTTCTTAAGATACCCCTGGTAGAAAAATAGATATCTGGGTTTTGGGGCCACTTGGGGCTGGAGCTGGTGTCCCGGGGTTTCTTCAGGGAGATCATGCTGTTCTGAAGGTACAAAGATCTGGTCGCCCATGAAAACAGTCCCTGGTCAAGGCAGGTCAGGAGTTCAGAAGGAGGGTCCAGGGGTCCTTCCAAGGGTCTGGTGCCCCTACGTGGCTTGACCTACTCATGCTCCTCTTTGCTCCTTTTGGGCCAATGAAGACCCTCAATGTGTCTTGAAGAGCCCAGGGCAGCTGAGTGCCACTCCATCCCTGCACTAGGACAGCAGCTGCAGCACCTGTCGGAGGCGCTGGGCCTTCTCCAGCAGGGCGGCCTCCGAGCCCGCCTCGTCCAGCTCCTGAATCAGGGCTTCCGCCTTCTGGACCGTCAGCTCCCGGGCCCTGCCCTTCAGCCCCTCCAGGTAGGCCAGGAGGGTGGAGAAGTGCTCGTCGGGAACCTGGAGGGGGGGAGAAGAGGAGCGGGTCAGGGCCAGAGCAAGGCGACACAGAGACCTGAGCAGCAGAAGATGGGCACACAGTGTTTTTCCACCTGGGCCCCCGCAGGGCCATGTGAAGGGCCCTCAAGCTATGGTGTTCCTGCCCTGCCGAGGACAAGAGTCCAGGTACACAGGAAGAGAGGGCCAACTTCCCTGCCTCAGCCATTTCCTTCACCAGCCTCAGATGCTCCTATGTTTAGAGGCTAGCGCCACCATGCCCTCTTGAATGCCACCAAACCAGCAAGTTTTAAAGAAATAGATTAGCTAGGATAAAGAATGGGTGAGGCGGTGACATTCACAGTAGTCTGGGGGATGGAAGACAGGCCTGACAGAGCTCAGCAGACCCGAGAAGAGAAGCTCAAACAGTCTGGGGTCGGAGGACACAGTAGGCAGGGTGCACTGCAGGCCTGGCTGGGCCCTGGCTCCAGGGTACTGTGTTGTCACCTCTAAAGAGGCAGCTGCCACCAAAATGTGTGGCTTCCTGATCTTCCAGACAGCAAGGTACTAGCATAAAGACAGGCACACAGATCAACAGAATAGAATAGAATAGAGCCCAGAAACCAACCTCCCACCAATTTATTTTCAACAGGTGCCAATTCATGGAGGGGAAATAGTCTTCCAGTGGTGGCAGAGGATGCTAGGCACCCACCCATAAGCAAAGGCACAAAGTTGGAGACCTTCTTTATGACAGACAGATGCAATCTAAGCAACTGGTGCCCTGAGTATAAGAGCTGGAACTATAACACTCTTGAGAGACAGCATGGATACTTGTCTCTGTGACCTGCCACTTTGTGGGGGGAAATGAATGTCCTCTGAATTTGTTCCATTTCAAGATCAGTGAAACCAATGCACACCCACCATGGCAGGCCACAGATCTGTGTCTGGATGTCCTGGCTGAGACGGGGACATAGGTGAGACAGGCATGGCCCTCACCTGGTCTGTCTGCAGACACAGGTGTCCCCTGCACCCTAACACATACAGCGCACCTGAGATGCCTGGAACGGTGTACAGGAAACTTGAGGGTGCTGGTGTGGAAGGAACGCCCCTGGGTGCCCGCGGGAGTGTGGAGGCTACATGACTGTGGCCTGTGGGGGCCGGGCCTTCACGGCTTGGGGTTGTGTGTCTAGATCCCATCTCCCTTCAGGAAATAAAATCGGCTCTGAAAAGAAGTGTGCACCTGTGCCCTGCACACACGGGCAGGGGCCTCCACAGGGTGCAGGCTTGCCTGGACCTTCAAGGCTGGTGCCAGGGACCTGGCAGGGGCAGGAGTCACTCTGCTTCAAATGTAGGTGGGGGGGAAGGCTGGGCTCCCCATGGGACCATCAGGACAGTCTTGCAGCTTGTGACCTCTGCACAGGCCTGCCACCTGGGAGACCCTTCCCCTGGGGTGTGCACAGACCTTGTCACTGTCGTACATGTGCAGCAGGAGCCACGTCTGCCTCGTCTTCTGGAATTTCCAATTCTTATGCTTTTGGGCCCACCTGAGGAAATCGAGACAAGCATCTCAGAGTGCGGACTGGCCAAGCCCCTCCTGTGCTAAGGGCTGAAGCTGTGGTGTCCTGGGGCCTTGTACAGTCCCTCTCTGAGGTGAGGAGCTGAATCTGCTGGGGGCAGCATGGTGCCGAGAGTCCTGGTCAGGAAGATGTGCCAGCTCAGCAGGCTGCCGAGCCCCTTGGCCCATCTTGGCCCACACTGTAACAGGACATAAAGGCTGGATGGCTCGCGGCCATTTCTTTCAATCCCACTCATCTGTGACCTCTCAACCACAAAGTGAGCATTCTGAACTTCCTGAGTTCAGGCTTCTTCAAAAAGCTCCTCTTGCAGGCTGTGGCTGGGGCTCAGTGGCAGAGCCCTTGCCTAGCATGTGTGAGGCACCGGGTTCGAGTCTCAACACTGCATATCAATAAATAAAATAAAGGTCCATTGACAACTAAAAAAATATTTAGAAAAAAAGCTTCTCTTGCATGGGATTGCCAAGCCCTGGCGGCCCTTCCTCCTCTGATGAGTAGGACAGCTAGGTTTCCCTGTGTCTAGGCAGGTCAGTGGAGGCTGGGCCAGGACAGGTGGGGCTGGGAGTGTCCATGAGGAAGTGCGTCACTCTGC